TTTGGATGAAAGACACCCAGTGTGGCCACGAGAGTCTCCCCGGCCAGGTTCTCCGTAGGGTCATATGCTGTGCATACCCGCTGCTTTTGAAAGCGTAGTTTATCTAAATTGGGACAAAACCCATGGACCCCAGCCAGGCCCTCCCCTCGCAAGAACACAGCACAGATAACAGTAGGAGCCTCCCCCTCATCCAGGAGGCCTGGGCGTCGTCAGCAGATGCTGATTTACAGCACGTGAGGTCCAGGCCAGGAGAGATGCCAGACCCTATCTCTGCTCCAGGACAGGCACTCATTACTTAAAATGTCAGGCTTTGAGGGTCAGGAGTGTCCCTGTCTTCACTCTGGAGTTAAGGCTCAGGCTCTGGGAAAGAGGCAGGCCATGCTGGTTTTACTTTCTCTGAGGGTCTGAAATCAGAAGAGGTCCAGACCCTCTGCTTAGAGAACTGGACACCCCATTTCAACAGACCTGTGAGAACCTACTTCTCCCTTGTGATGGTTAATTTTACGGGGCCACGGAACTGGGCTAGGATGCTCTGAGAGCAGTAAAACATTATGTCTGGGTGTGTCCCTGAGGGTGTTTCAGGAGGATGTTAGCATTTGAATCTGGAGACTGAGTGAAGGAGGTGGGCCCTTCTTGAGGACGGAGGCATCAACCCGTGGGGGATGTTCATTGAGATCTGAACTGAAGCAGAAGCTGCTGAAGGGGGCGAGCTCACTCTCTCTGCAGAAGTTCGGGTATCCTTCCTCCCTGCTGGTTCTTGGGCTTTGGATTCAGACCTGGAACCAACACCGCCTACCCCCAGTTCTCAGGCCTCCAGACTTGAACTGAGTCACACCTCTGGCTTCTGGCTTGCAAAGGGCAGAGCACAGGGGGACTTCTTGGCTGGATAAATCTCCTCTTACATATATCCAATCGGTTCTGTACCCTGGAGAGCCCCAGTTAATACATCCCCTTGGTGTCTCATAAGGGAGCTCATCAGGGGAGCTAATCTTGGGCCCAGAAAACCAATCTCAGCTCCTGGAGCTAAGTGGGTTTCATTTTACGAGAAGTGTAAACACATTTACAACTGGATTCCAAGATCTCTAGTAAAACACCCATTGGAGTTCTTTTTAACTACCTCTTAATTAATTTCTAAGGCAGTGATTCTCAAGGTTTTTGGAATAAGGGCTCCTTTACAATCTTAAATTCATTAAGGACCCCAAAGAACTCCTGTTTATGTGGGTTATGGCTATCAATATTTATTATATTACTCAATCAAAACTGGAATTTGTAAATATTTATTTATTCACCCATCTATAAAAAACAATAATAAAGTCATTACAAATAAACACATTTTAATGAAAAGTAACTATTTTTCAAAGCAAAATATTTAGTGAGAAGTGGGGCATTGTTTTACATTTCTATAAATCTCTACCATGGCTGGTTTAATAGAAGACAGCTGGATTTTAATATCTACTTCTGCATTCAATCTGTTGTAATATTTTGCTTGGTTAAAGACAAATGGGAGGAAAATAGGAAGAAAATCAAACCTCTCACAGATATGTAGTTGGAGGGAGGAGAAATATTTTAATTGCTTTTTCAGATAGTCTTCTGTGACACTACTCCAGATATGGTGAGTAACAGTTTCTTAAAATTTATTTACAGCGGGGGAATCTGAAACATTGTCGACGAACTCTGTATACTGATGTTAAAATCCATTGTCTACTTGTGCTTTGAATGGATCTTTTACTCCAGCATGATTTTGTAACATCCCATATTGGTCCTTTGGAAAACTGAGTTATATATGTGGCTCTACCAAAATGTCGACCCAATAGCCAAAAGTCTCATTCATTAACATTACCAGGGATCTCATGTGAAATTCTGGCAGCACTAGAAACAGTCAAACTCACGGTGGTGAATACACGGAGCTCAAGTTCTAGTGTTCACCTGGAAGTATAGACATCATCATTGCTAAAAAATACCATGAATCATTTTCCTTGAAGTTCCAGGCTCACTGCCTTCATTTCTGGAGAAAGACCCATGGCGTGTCTGCCAGTCTTTCGAGTAAAAATACTAGTCCATGAAAAAAGCAGCAGCAAGGTTAAACCTTCTCACACGCAATCTCACACAGGTGTGCTTCGGGATGCAGAGGTATTTTACGTGCACCCACCTTTGTGTCACAAACTATTTCAAAGTCTTGTATTCAAGGATGGAGATTTAATAAAATGAAATTTTTACTGCCCCATGAAGGACTTTCTTAATAACTACTGATAACACTTTGGTGCCTCTGCTTGATCGCGAGCAAAGGTGTCAGCATTTTATTCCCATTTTGACTTCTGCAGCCCCTACGCCATTCCCATTCGGGAGGAAGTGTTCCCTCCATCTCGCCCCACCATTTAAGCCTTCTCCATTTAAGGCAGAACTGACAATGTAAGAGTGAGCATTTATGAAACGTCTTCTTAGAATGCACAATTTCGAGACAATTTATTTTAATCTTACCTTTGAGAGGTGGTGGAGATGGGGAAGGGGAGACAGTATTGCAATTATTCAGATCAAATATGGTTTCAGATCTTAGACCACAGGGATGAATCAAATATTCAATCGAATATTCCAGTAAGGTGACCACAGTGAACAATAATCCACTTTTAATGGTTCCTGGACCTGTCTATCCAAAACGCACAGATTCCCCAAATTATTTATTCATTCGATTTTGAAATGCATTGTAGCAACCTCTAGCTATTTATCTCGCTAATATTTTAGGTTAAGTCTAACATTAAGATTAGTTTGTGTTCCCCGAGCATACAACCACTGAGGGGGCGACACTGGTATCCTTCCTTGAAGATACTTTCTAGTGGCAGAGATGGCAGCAGCTGAGATTTCAGCAGACATTGCTCTGTCCTTATTTCCATTTTCCGTTGTTGTGTACTACTTCAAATGATTTTTGGAAAGTGGTAGAGGTATGAATAAATTCAATTTTAAAATGCTTTTGGCTGTTGGTAGAACACCTACATAATTAAAAGTTGACAGCATTTGCCTGCATGCCTTTAAAAGGTCGCAGGAAATGTACTCTACTTTGAGGAAAGGCCTAAAGTGTGTTTTCAATTATAGTGTACTAAGCATTGCAGTCACAGCAATTCAGGAAGGGGTGGTGGCGTGTCTATGCAGGCGGAGAGTCCCCCATCCCCTAGCCCAAGGCTCTCTGGGAGGCTCACGGAGTGTTGAGAGCCTTGTGCTCACGTGGAGTTAGGTTTCAAGACCGTACACACCCAGGACAAGCAGCTGATTTGGAATGGGTGGGCTCTGACTTATCACTCACACGCGCCTTTCACCAACACTAATGACGGTCGTGGAAGTCATGGCGAGTTGAGTTTAATTGGAGTTGAAGGATGGTTTTATTTCAAGCCGTAGCACAGGGAAACAACTGAACCATCCGTTCCCTTAAGCCCACCTTTCAGGAAGAATTGGTTTAAGGATGCTGGTTCCATTTTAAACCTGATGTCTCTGTTTGGATAGTTGATGGAATTCAAGCTGGTGTTTCCAATCCTGCTTTAGATGGCATTACTTGTCACCCAGAAGCTAGATCCTTGGGGGAGCTGACAGCGCGGGTGTCATCCTGAGATTTCATTATCAATGAAAAAAAAAAAAAAAAACCCTTTTGGGAGCAAGAACACTCTTTAAGCTGCTCCAATAAAAGTGTGCAAATAAAGACTCATTGTTCCTTTGAAGGGTCAGGTAGGCATTTAATTCCATGACTGTCTTTACCACTCGCGTTGTGAGAATTAAGTCAGAACCTCAAAGGGGTGTTGGCCTGAGATGCAAGTTTCTAGAGGGTCCTCCTAATCCAGCCTCACCGAGTATGTGCCTCCGCCTTCTTTGATGAAAAGGTCTATTTTAAAATTGGTAGGAAAATATTTAACATAATAAGATGATGAGTCAGAGTTTTAAAAAAGCTAACAAGGGAAGATGTAGTGATATTGATGCACCTCTTTATTTTTCAGTTACGTCTGACTCATGACACAGAATATATTCTGCTAAATTCAAAGTTTCCCCTCACAAAGGGAGTTTTATGAAACAACTCTTCTTCAGACCATTTGTACTTCAATTATAGTCGCAGGTTTTGGAGTTTAAATCATTAACAACCTCCGAGTGAACTTTTATCCAAATGGCTTCAAGTCACAAAGAGAACAGTCCTCTTTCACCAAGTAGCTTTTGTGTTACAGTGAGAGTCGTTCTTTTCTATTTTTTTCCCCCTTTCTGTCTCTCTTTGAAGAAAGAAGTGTGATTTGTAAAGTAATGAAAGTATGTATCAGTTCATGAAAACCCGCGAGGGTGGGCTCGGGGGAAACTTCCTGAACCTGCATTCTAGCAGGGGGGAAAAAAGTAACTTTCAGAAGTCAAGATAGCTGTGTGCCCTATAGGAGGATCATGTAGCAATTAAATCAACCAACAGGGGTGACCTAATCTTATTTCCCCCCTTTGTCAAGGAGCTGTCATTTCCACGAAGGCAGCATTTTCCAGTTGGAACCCCACTGGACACCTCAAAACCCAGCCCTCAGCCCATCAGCCCTCACTATTGATTCCACCCTATGCTTCATCTTTGTGTTTTTTTCTCAAATTATTTTGCTCGGGGATATATTTTAGCGCCCGAGTGGGATCTGTCCCCTCCACCAATTTAAGGTGCTGGGGGTGGTGGTGGTGGGGTGAGGAAGGTGTGTGTGTGTGGGGGGCGGTGTATGACCGAGTCATTCTTTAAGGGCACAAAAGCCGGAAGAATTTTGCGCAGGAGAAAATGCAGCTGAATCCAAAACAAAAGAAAGTTAAGAGAAAAATCTATTTCCTTTCACAAAAAAAAAAAAAAAATCAGAATAATGAATTCATCGTTGTTTCAAGAGTGGGCAAAACTTTACCCCCCCCTCTAGATTTGGCGAATAGCGGGATACATTCGAAGAACTCCAGCCCACCCCCGCACGTGCGCCCCCAGGCTCCCCAGGCTCCCCAAGCTCTCCAAGCAGAGCAGTTGCAAATCCCACTTTAAGGCCGCCCTGGAAGCCTAAGGGCACCTTCCTCTTTGCTCTGTGTGTGCGCGCGCGCGCGTGTGTGTGTGTGTATGTGTGTGTGGGGTGTGTGTGTGTGTCTAGCTCTCGCTCTTTCCCTCGGTCTGCGCCTCTGTGTGTGTGTGTGAGTGTGTGTGTGCCAGAGAGAGGGAGAGAGAGCGCGCGAGAGGAGAGCGAGAAAGAGCGAGCGAGCGAGCGAGCTGCGAGCTGTGCAGCCGCCGCTGCTGCCCTTTGATCCCGACATTAGTGTTAGGGGCTCGGAGACACCGCGCGCGGCCATGGACACCGCCGCACCGGCGCGCATTATTTATCCCTCCCAGCACACGCGAGCGGAGCACACACACACGCACACCTATCCGCTCCGCTTCCATTGAAGAATATTACGCTCGGGGACAAGCCAGGTGCACGACCAAAAAATTAAAAAAAAAAAAAAAGGAAAAAAAGAAAGGAAAGCAAAGAAGAAAACCCCTCTTCGGGCTCCAGGAAACCAGCTCCAGCCCTTTTGCACACACCGGAGAGAGGGGGTTTCCCCCTGCGCGCCCGCCCGCCCCCCAACTACCTCCCCGCTCCTGCCAGTGTCTGCCTCGCTGCCCCCTCGGGGGTTTATTTGATCTCCCATTAACCAAGGAGGAGAATGTGAGAAAAGGGGAAAATGCCCAGGAGGAAGCAGGAGCAGCCCAAGCGCCTTCCCTCACGTAAGTCATCCCTTCCCCGCCGCCTCTCGGGCCATTTTCTCGCCTCTCCCGGCCCCTTCTCTCCGCAGCCGGCTCCGCCGAGGGCTGCGTTAGTTTAGGGTTACAGAGGTGAGCCCCACAAAGACACAGCCCGGGTTACTCCTCGTCGAGGTCTGCGCCGAGGCAGCCATGTTGGTGATGATCAGCCCGTGCCCTTTCTATTCTCTCTCTCTTTTTCTTTCTTGCTCGCGCCCCCCTGGCTTTTTCCTTGAGATCGGGCTCGCCCCCCCCGCGCCCCCCCTGCCCGTCCCCACTCCGGGGGGGCTGGGGGAGGGGGCCCGCCCCGGGAGGAGGGGAGCGTTGTGGATGCCGGGGTGCTCGGCCGGGGGGTGCGGGGAGGTGGGAGAGGTTGGAATCTTAAAAAAAAAAAAAAAAAATTCCTTGCGGCTCCCCGCGCCGGCGGGGGCGGGGGTCGGGCGCGCAGGCCGGGGCCGTGACATGGCGTTTGGGGGTGCCGGGGCGCGCGCCGGCGCGGGCGCGGGCGCGGGGCGAGTCCGTCTCCGGCTAAAGGTTGCGCCGGGCGGGTCGGCCCCGGGGCGGCCGCGGCTGGAGCGGGCGGCGGCGGCGCGGAGGAGGGAGCCGGGGGCGGGCGCGGCGGGGCGGCCGGGGCGGGCGTGGGGGCCCCGCGCGCGATCGCGGGGGACACACGCGCCGCCGGGGCGAGCCGGGGCGCGGGCGGGGGCGCCGGGCGGCGGCGGGCGGATGTGGGGTGCGGGAGCCGCGCCGAGGCGGAGCAGGAGGCCGGCGGCTCGCGGCGCGCGAGGTCCCTGCAGAGCCGCGGGGCGGGGGCGCGGGGCGCCGGCCGCAATAAAATGCGGGGTCAGGCGGGGCAGACGGGCGGCCAGACGCGGGCGCAGCCCCCCCGCCCGCGCGCGCGGAGCCGGGACCCGCGCCCCGACCGCCGCCCCGCGCCGCCGCGCGCCCCGCCGCGCCCCCCGCCCCGGCCGGCGCCCCGCGCCCCTCCTCCACCGCGCCGCCCGCGCCCCCCTCCGGCTCCTCTCCGCGAGACTCTTAACTTTTCCCCGCTCCCTCCCCGGCCCCCCCGCCGCAGCCCCTGCGCCCGGCGCGTTCCGCGAGGCTGCGGAGCTAAAAGTGAAGGAGAAAGAAGCAACTAAAATATCCCCCGGGGCCGCCGGCTCCGCGGACGCCGCGAGGAGGGGGCGGGCGGCGCGGGAGGGGGAGCCCGCGGCGCCGGGGGCGGGGCGGGGGTCGGTCTCCGCGCCCCCCCGGGCTCCCGAGCGGCGCGCCGGGCCGGGGGGGCGCGCGGCGGGCCGGGGCGCGCCGGGCCGGGCGACGTGGTCGGTCACCTGAAGTTCACGGCGAGGGGGGGCCGGGGCGTCTCGGCCCGGCCGCCGCGCCCGCGCGCTTCCGCCGCAGACGGGCCGCGATCGCCCCCCGCGGGGTCCCGGCGGCCGGGCCGGGCGGGCCGGGGCGGGGGGCGCGCGGGGGCCGCGGCGCGGGGGGCGCGCGGGGCGTCCCTCCCCCTCGCCGGCACGCGGAGTCGGCGCGCAGGGCTGGGCTGTGCTTTTTCTCCCTTCCTTAAAAAAAAAAAATGCCCCTGTGCAGTCCTTTCTTCGCCGCCCGCTAGAGGTTCTGGGGATCAGCGCGCAGATGTGGTCTGGACGCGGAGCCCCGCTCGCCGCGCTGCGTGCGGAGGAAATTCTGGGCGCGCCGCGGGGAGGGCGAGCCGGGCGCCGGCCGCGACCCGCCGGACTCGCCGCGCCCCGGGAGGCGCGTGCACAGACGCGGCCGGCGCCCCGCGCCCCGGGGGCTGCGGGGCAGGGAGGGGGCGCCCGCGCCGGGGCGGGGGGGCCGGGGGCGCCGGGCCCCGCGCGCCCAGCGGGCTCCCGTGCAGTCTGCGAACTTGCCCTTAGATGGCAACTTTGGGAGCTGCTGAGCTGCTGTGCGAAAAGCGGGGCGGCGAGGCCATTGGGTCACTTTCCTTTCTTCCCTGCGCCCCCAGTTTGGAAAAAAAATGTTGGCGGGGTGAGCGCGGGGGCAGCGCGGGGAAGGGGGTGTCTCTCGTCGGCGGAGACGCAGCGCCGGCCCTCCCGGGCGGGGAGCGCGGCCGGGCAGCTGCAGCCTGCCCTGCTGGTGACCTTGACCCTGACCTCCCGCGGCTGCCCTCCCGTCGGAGAGGAAATTCGGGCTCCATTTTAGCTCGTGCGCGCGGTGGGCCTCTCCTGCGCGCCCGAGCCTGGTGATGAAGTTATATTTTGAGTGCGGGCTCTCCCACCCTGCTCTCTAATGGAACGCTGTTCTCCACTCACTGAAAACCCCAGCTCGCGACTGCAGTCCCGGAAAGCCACTTGGGCTGGAGGAAGAAGCAATTACCTTTTGGAAACACCGGAAAATGTCCCTCCCGGTTTTTCTTTCTTTCTTTCTTTCTTTTTTTTTTTAAGGAAGCCTAATCTGTGAACCTTTTTCCACTTACTTTTGCAGTGAGTGGATTTTTGCGGCCGTGTGCTGCCTGTCCCGAGCCTGGTTCTTGCAGGTTTTGTAAGCAATTTACATTCGCATCAAGCCATTGCTGGGGCATATGGTGTATTTTGCAATTCTGACAGGGTAACCCAAGGCCTGCAAAATGCCCAGTGGGTCTTGAAGAAACTTGCAGTGGTGTGCAGTGGTAATAAATATTAACTTTGGTAAAATTAGTGTTAATTTGTATTTAATGTACAATATAATTGTAGTGCTAAATCCCAGTTGAAAGGCTACATTCTTTATGTGTGTGTGTGTGTGTATGTGTGTGTGTGGGGCGGGGTGGGGGGTGGGGGGGGTGGGGATCCTCTTGTTTCAAAGTGAAAATACAGAAAATCTGAGGTCTCATTCCAGGGTTTTAAGAAGTTATGTGGGAGCAGATTTAAAATGTGACCCTAAAACTGTGATTTTGGGGGTGGGCAGGGCGATGTGAGGGGGGAATTGCTTTTGAAACTAAAGAGCTCTTCTGCTACTGATATGTTTCAAGAATCTAGAGAACCTGTGAACGTATTTAAGACGTTTAAATTAGAATACAAAAATAAAAGAAACTCGTGAAAACTGAATCCAGAGACAATTTGAAATGCTCCTTCCTTTTAGGCCCCCTCTTGCTCTGCACCCCAGGAGCGATTGCTGCTAGTGACTCTTCTGTGTGTCCATCTATTTCTCTGTCGGGAGCTGTGGCCAAGCCCAGAGCAGCGTGGATGCACAAAGGCCCTGGTCCTCCCCACTCTCAGCCACTGACACCAGGGCACCCGGAAGTTTCACCCTCGACTGCATTAGTCCTGGAAATCCAGCCTAGCACTTGGTATTCTCTGCTACCAAGTCTGGGGTGAGCCTCAGCGCCTGGCACGCTGTCCCGGCAATTCCCCAGGCTGGACTTTGGCCTGCTAAGGTTTCCTAGCTCCTTCTGTTCAGCTAGATACCCCTGGGAGCTTCAGAACCAAATTAGCTTTGGGGATGGGCGAGCCTTTAACCTGGCACTACTGAGCTAAAGCGTTAGATTTCTGATTTCAAGTTCTACACAGTCATTTCCTCCTGGGCCTCTTGGGGTGTGTGTGTGTGTGTGTGTGTGTGTGTGTGTGTGTGTGTGTGTGTGAGAGAGAGAGAGAGAGTTGAACGGTGACCCTCTAATATACCTCAAAGCATTTCTGCACCCACTTGGAGTTGACCCCTCAAGGAAGTATGCTAAACTTACACCATTTCTTTTTTTAAATTGAGGTCACATGGGTTTACAACCTATACTATTTTTGAGAAGTGGCTTTAAAGATTACGCACCATGAGGCCTTTCTTCCTTGGACTAGAGCAAAAGTGATCATCCTGGGATTTAAAGCTGACCGCTGCGCTTGGTGGTCCTTCTCCAACGTTCTCTCCAGGAGCGAGATCTAGTGCCCTGTGCAAAAAAAATGCTGCGATCTGGGCTCTGCCCTGTGCTGCTCTTCAGCAGAATCCCAGACCGTGCTGCTCAAAAATGTTCGTCAGCCTAAGAAAAAGGAGGCGAGGGGAAAGATGTGGTGACTTTTGCCAGGTCTGGGGCTGAACATCTTATACCTGGGATGGCAGACTCAGGAGGAAAAGGCAAGGAAGGCTTTGTTGCAAATCCTGGTACTTTTAAGATTTCCTCATTAGCTTCAACGTATCCAGAAGCGTGTGTGATTTCGATCCTATTATATTTATCGCTGGACATCTGCCTGGTGCCTCTGCCCGGGGCCCAGCACTAAGGAAAAGTTAATGAAACAGTTGTTTTGTTAGTCTAGTATTTTCTTTGTTGACGCCGTTGTGGGTCAGGCTTAGAACTCATTATTGTGTTGTTCATCAGCAAAACTTCAAAAATTCTCTCTTGCTTTCTAGTAAAATGGGGACACAAAATGAGATGCAACAGGAGCCCTCACTTTTATATGTGTTTTCTTGCCTGTTGAAAGATGGAGGGTAGAGGGCTGCGCTCTTTTCCCTACTTAGTAATTTTTGCAGTGATGAGGCAACATCTCTGAAGTATGACAGGACCCACAGGGAAAGAGTTGGAGTCTGGAGTAACAAACAATTTCCCTGCTCCTGTCAGCCAGAGGTAACTCCCGTAGCAGGCGAGGTGGATACTGGGCACGAATGCCTGTGTGTTCTCCTAAAAGAATCCACATATTCCTAACACAGTAATAGGCTACACTGAACTTTCTTGTCATAAGGATACTAGCTCAAAATCACATCCTTTTTAAGGCTTCTAAATAGTTTTCTAATAAAATAAATTGATTTTTAATTTGTCTACCGTGCTGTCATCTAGCTCTGGGGGTGACACAGCTGGGGTGAGTTGACACGTCTCCTACACAAAGTATTAATACATCCCGCCAGAGAAATACAAATTGGACAGCTTTCGGCCACTGTTAGAGCTTGCTGTGCCTTTGAATTCCTAGAGTCTTCTCTGAGGCCTGTACTAGAATCGTGTGTGGGAAATCTGTCTTTCCAGGCTGGGGACACACAGGGGCACATGTTGA